AATTGAACGCGTGTACGTCGCCACGCAATTCGTGTAAATGATTTCCTCATAGCATCGCAGATTACTACCAGTGTCTACCTGGGGCCGCCACCTCGAGCGTTCTGTCAAGCTCCAGCAGCACTATCGCCAGTCAATCCAGCAGTAGTTCGAGCGGCGGTGGAGCAAGTTCTAGCAGCACAAGCTCAGCTCCGCCGTCCCAGACATCCGTAGCGAACGTCTCCCCGGAATGGGCCACCGCCTACCAAAAGGTCGCCGTACTGTGCTTATGCTGGTTTGACTGTCATTGACCAATAGTATAAAGGCTCAAGCGGCCGTTACTAAGCTCTCAGTGACAGACATGGTCAACCTCGGTACAGGTGTGATAATTTTTTGAGATATTTAAGGAATGTGTCTGGCTGACGGCTCGAGCTAGGCGTCCAATGGCAGAAAGGTCCTTGCGTTGGCAACACTCCTGCTATCTCGTCTATACCTGGTTTCAACGGTCTCTGCCTCCAAGGTATGTGACTCAAGCTTCTCAAAAATGTGTGTCTAATAAGATCACAACGTACAGACAGCCCTGTGGGGGTTCGTTATGCTGACGGCGTCTCCGTTTTCCCTCCGTACGCGTCTAAGTATAGCTGATTCATGGACTGTTGCGCTCACGCTCGGCGACTTCCAGGGAAATCAACGTTGCTGCCACGTGGAACCGCACGCTCATGCAGCAACGCGGAGCAGCCATGGGCGCAGAGTTCAAGGGGAAAGGAGTAAACGTCGGCCTTGGCCCCATGATGAACCTCATGCGTGTACCCGCTGCTGGTCGCAACTGGGAAGGGTGAGCTGTTTAGTCTGTACATCTCTATAACGACGAGGGACTAACCTCTTCTATGTGGTTCTGTAGGGGAGGCGGTGATCCTTACCTCTCCGGCGAAGTCGCATTTGAGACTATTACTGGCATTCAGTCATCCGGTGTGCAAGCTTGTGCGAAACATTTTATCGACAAGTGAGCGTACCGCTCTCTCTGGAGTACTGCGCTTTCTAACATTCGCTGTACTAGCGAACAAGAGCATTTCCGGGATTCGAGCTCGTCCAATGTTGATGACAGGTAAGACTTTCGATGCTGTGAACATGTTGGTGAAGTGGCTGATGTAACATGCGTAGGACGGTGGGCACAAGTTGCATATTCTCCAACTCATGTGGCTTACTCGAAATTGCAGGAACACGAACTTTACGGACATCCGGTAACCGCATTTGTTATATAAGTTTTATTTGTGCCTTTCTGAACCTTACGTTTCACGATAGTTCCTCCGCAGCGTCCAAGCGAACGTAGCAGCTGTGATGTGCAGCTACAGTAAGTCGTGCCCTTCCCGCATATCGCTCAGTGACTCACCAACGTTGTTTTGGATAGATCAAAGTGCGGACACCTGTATTATTGTCAGCCAGACACTGAATGCTGTACCATCTAGTCAACGGTTCTTTTGCCTGCGAAAACGAGCAGACTTTGAGCGGACTGCTCAAGGGAGAGTACGGCTTCCAAGGCTGTGAGTAATGGTTATTAATGTCATTGCATCGTGCTGAAGCTCTGACTCAGATGTTACGTCCGGTGAGCGTATTGTTGTATGGAAACTACAAAATTATGGCCAACCGGACTATCAGACTGGTGGGCTACGCACTCTGGTGCGCCTGCTGTCAACGCAGGACTCGATGTACGTCGAACTGCCGGTCCAGTGGGATATGGGATATGTGCTGAGCTGCTTCTAGATGACGATGCCAGGAGACGAGTCTGAAAATTCCGGGACAACGTAGGCAACCCCTCGGTGATCTATTCGTTTGTGACTTACCAATATCACGTCCAGATACTTTGGACAGAACCTTGTCAATGCTGTAAACAGCGGCGAGGTCTCGCAAGCTAGGATCCAGGTGCGGACAGGTATTCTTAGCCACGGCTAAACCGAGCTCACGATTTGCTTCCACAGGACTTGGCGACTCGTGTCCTCGCAGCATGGTATCTTTTGGGCCAAGATCAGAACTACCCCGCAGTCAACTTCAACTCGTGGAATTCCGGCGAGGGCCAGCACGTCAATGTCTCTGGCGACCACGCGAGGTGCGCTAGCCCGTCCGTCCTAGAGAGATCTTGTAGCGTGACGTTCGCATTATTTGCAGCCTCATCCGGACTATTGGAGCCGCGTCCCAGATCCTCCTGAAGAACACGAACGGGGCTCTCCCCTTGAACAAGCCCAAGTCTATCGGCATCATTGGCAACGACGCAGGATCCAACCCCAGTGGTCCCAATGCGTGAGTCAGCACCTCAAATTCTGTCACATTTGCTGGATAAGCGTTTGCTTTAGCTGTACCGACCGCTCATGTGACGTCGGAATCCTTGCTCTCGGCTGGGGCAGCGGGTGAGTTGGGCCCGACTTCTGAGTACTTCACATCCGCTGACGAACCCGATGAAATACAGGACGGCGAATTTCCCATACCTGGTCGCCGTAAGCGGGATTATGCATTTACTTACTGCCGTGGCTAACATGTCCTAGCCTGTTGACGCGATCACTGCTCGTGCAGCGCAAGACGGGACTGCTGTGTCGTCGTCTCTGAGCGACACAGACCTG